ATCATATATAAACACATGCATGTATGTACATATGTCATGCACATGCACATGCATGCATGTACATGTTTATGTTTGTGCATGCTCACACATATCTATATGTACATGTACATTTAGACACATGACATTGATTCCTTCTCTCTCTCTCTCTTATTATATATGATCATACACATATATGATTCTTTTTGTAAACATTCACTTTTGTACATACAATGCGTACAGATGCTCCTACCCAATATAATATGACCCCTTCTCTACACATATTTAATATATATGACCGCTTGTTCTCGCTTGTTTTAGATACATTTTACCAATATAGATATATATATATATATATATATATATATATATTTCCGAATTTGAGATTACGAATACAAAAGCACATGTCACATTTATAGGTACGTACTTGTGTGTGTATAAGTAGGTAAATGATCATGTGTAATTAGGTACAATTCAGCATTCGCACGCGCATGCTCATATCTACTACATAAACATATGCCTGCGTGTGCATTTGTGACTTTGTTCAAACGTGTTTGGGTATATGTGGTCATATCTTAACACAATAAATGATGTATACGTGCCAATATTTTTGCATGTATACGTACGTGCGCACGTACGTACATGTAGCCGCATGCATATGTGAGGGCATAGACATGTATATATATGCTCACATATATATGCATATGTGAATATTAATATTATACAATATGGTGTGGTTATTGTGAGAATTGATGAATAAAGAAATAAACTCAAGTAATGTAAGAGGTTAATGTTCTCCGATAGAACATGAAGAAGAATGAGAAGAAAATGAGACTTGTTATTATTCAAATGAAATGTTACAGATTTATAAGAATATTAGGACATAATAAGAAATGGAAAGAAGAGTAAATCAAGTGATTATAAACGGCTAGTATATCACCAATCATGACCGAGATCCATGTAAGGCAAGTAGGATCCATTCTTCCAAATATATGACACGTTCTTGAATCATGTTGCTTGACACATGTGGCTGACTATTTGTTCCCTTATTTGAGCTCCAACGGACACTTGTTTGATGTCCATGTAAGGTAATTTCGCCACATCATTGTCCAAGATCGGTCTTGTCACATTTGCATGATTCATGCATATCCATGGATACCATGCACGTATCAAGTGAGTCCTAGGCCATTTCATATGTGTTCTCGTGCGTTCGGATTCATCCAAGATTGTCCAAGAGTCCGTCTTAACCTCTTCTCCAACATTCCCCCTCAAGATCGACTTGGAGAAATATCGAGAAGTCAATCTTGCCGAATATATGTCTCCGTGCTTTCGTCGGTTCTCCATTAAGCGTTCAATCACATTCCATGGTGGTTCCTTTGGCTTGTCCACTATTATACACGTTTGTTTAGACTTTATTTTCTGTATACACTCAAAAGAATTGTTAGGTAACGCAAGGGAGGCCATAGCACTCCGTTTAAAACGATAAATCAAATGCAAACACGCAACAATATGGTTTTCATCAAATAAGAGTAAAAACAATGTTCTACTGTGAATAAATGCTAAGTTTAATATTTTTGAAATATGAAACATTATTTTTATAATGGGATTCACGATTGGTTTATATTCTAAATTAAACATGTTACTCAAATTTTCATTAAACACTACAAACATGTCGTTTACACTATTTTCATGATCAAAGGTATTTCGGACAAATATATTTTGTTCATTATGCAACACATGAATATGTTCACCGGGATCAAATACAAAAGGTTCAAAAGTGGTTTTACCAAACCTAGAGTTGTAGGAACTCATAGGTAATATCACCTTTCCTTCGGACATTTTTCCATGCTTCGACTTTTGTCTCTTTATATGGACTTCCATTGAGTTTGTTTGCTTTGTACTCCAACGTTTCATCATGAACGTGTCTTTTATTTTCTGCCCAATGACACTTAAAACACCAAACATATTATTAGGAATAACAAACTCAAAGTGAAGTGGAGAGAAGAATGAATGACAAACTCTATTGCCGATGCATTGGAAATGCATGATCGGATTTGCCTTGGGAAGAACGAATGGGACAAGGTTGTTCTCCATAGGCGATGCCTCATTTTCGGAGTTCTTTGACTCCATTTGTAGGTTATCATCCTTTACGAACTCCATTTGATTCCCTTCTTCTTCTTCTTTGTTTGAGCAAACCGGTCTTACTTCTTCCGTGTACTCGACTTTTTCGATTTGTATCATTTCTTCTTCGTCCTCTTCATTAAGTTGTTCATTTAACATCCCATCATCCACACACGTGGGAGTGAGCTCCTCATATTCCCCCTCACGTTGTGGATGAATAGGCGTCATGTATTCAATGAAGAATTCTCGGACGGTTTGGTCGGTCATCTCTTCTTCCGACAACCACTCGTGTTGTTCCTCGTTTGTGATGTTTTGAGTGCGTTCTTCGCACCACATCATTTTTGCTTCCATGAGGGATATTTTTTCTGTGGCTTTTATAACCTGCAAGATTAGTTTGTTGTGTATACCATCCAAAAATCCAAGAAAGGTATAGAGTTTACGCGTTTCGATGCTTAGATCGGGATGAAGCTCCTTGATTCTATCCCAAACACCCTTGAACGCCTTGTCTCTTTGTTCTTCAAGCATGGTACTCCATGCATTTTGGAGTAACTTGAATTTTCGGATGTACTCAAAGGTTGCTATGACCTTGAAATCTTCATACGCCAATCCGTATGTCATGTTTCTCTCCTCTTTGGTGTTTATTATAAGAAGGATAGTTTTTTTTTTCGAAAAATTTATGCAGCGGAAAAGAGAATAGTAGTCACCATGGATCTTGCTCTGATACCATGTGAGAATTGATGAATAAAGAAATAAACTCAAGTAATGTAAGAGGTTAATGTTCTCCGATAGAACATGAAGAAGAAGGAGAAGAAAATGAGACTTATTATTATTCAAATGAAATGTTACAGATTTATAAGAATATTAGGACATAATAAGAAATGGAAAGAATAGTAAATCAAGTGATTATAAACGGCTAGTATATCACCAATCATGACCGAGATCCATGTAAGGCAAGTAGGATCCATTCTTCCAAATATATGACACGTTCTTGAATCATGTTGCTTGACACATGTGGCTGACTATTTGTTCCCTTATTTGAGCTCCAACGGACACTTGTTTGATGTCCATGTAAGGTAATTTCGCCACATCATTGTCCAAGATCGGTCTTGTCACATTTGCATGATTCATGCATATCCATGGATACCATGCACGTATCAAGTGAGTCCTAGGCCATTTCATATGTGTTCTCGTGCGTTCGGATTCATCCAAGATTGTCCAAGAGTCCGTCTTAACCTCTTCTCCAACAGTTATATCCCTGTATATATTTATAGCATGTTGCTAATCTACCAAACTCACATGCACCTCACCGAAGATTTAATAATACTCAAATTCAAATTTCTATTCAAGAGATCTAAAAAAAAAATGTTTGGAATCCCATACAAAACCGGTGTAGTTATGTTTAATTTGAGTTGGCTCATTTTAAAATTTTAATCGTGTGTACGTGTGTGTGTGTATATATATATATATATATATATATATATATATCATTTGAATCAAATAATGCAAAAAAAAAAAAGTTTCTCAACTCCATATTTAAATACTCCTGAATCTTCAATAGTTTCTATCAATTTAACACATGCGCGTTCATTAGTCGGAAATAATTTCAATGAAGCATATTACTATCGGGGCCAATAAGCAAAAACTATTATAAGGAAAATGATAAAATTCGGACCGATGTCAACGTTGTATAGGTCCCAATATGTCGGGTTCATCACCATGTATTTATATACACTATCGCTTTTTCATTTCCTAAAAAATCGTTATTTAACTACCAAAACGTTTATTTGTTCCTTTGTCGGTTTATTTACTTAATTTTATTTATTCATTTGTTCTTGTAGCCCATTGTTTACACATGCCAACATGCTAGCACATCGACACATGCTCCTTGTTTAACCCAAAAAAGTATTTAGACAAATTTTAAAATGATAAATAAAAGAGTATATGTATCATTCAAGTTGCGTTACACTCTATCATGGATATTTTTTTAAACAAAGATAAATAACTTTATAATATCAAAGATTATCATCATATACTAACATTGAGGGATTGGTCGGGGTCACAACAATGAATTGTTTTATAAAATTGGGATATCTCATTATTTCGTAAAATGTGATTGGCAGCTTGATGCCCATGATCGTACCATGCATAGTTCTATAATTTTGAATAGCACTAATTAATATATATATATATACAGGTTATCCAATAATACTTCACGTGAGAAGTTTAGAAAAATGTTATATCACATATTTCTATAGATAAATGAGCTAGAACTTTTTTTAATAGCATATTTGCTAAAAAACAATTATCATTATTTTTCTTATTTTCTTGAAAGTTTCTTATTTTATGTAGCACATGTAATGAGAAATCTTTTGGATTATAGTAGATGGTGATTTGCCTTTGGTTTCTTCTTCGTTAATATAATATATATATATATATATATATATATATATTTCAGTATAATTCTTAACTGAAACGTAAATACAAACACAGAGCTGCCTGAAGTGGAACGAAATTGAAATAATTCCATAAAAATGTAATATAGATTGTTTTCGAGGTTTAATTTCCTGTTAAATAACCTGCAAGAATACCTTAGGTTGGGCTTGAGAGCAAAGGCCCAACAACAGGCTAAAACAGCGTAGATTTTGTCATGGCGTTTAATGGGCCTTTTAATGGGCCGACTTTATTATCGTAATATCATAAACGATTTGTAGGCCGTCCAGTATGTATTCAATGGGCCTGGCTTAATGACCTGGAGCCTTTAAATTCAATTGTTACAGATTTTTTTTTTCGGAAGCGATAAATAATATCTTAGAACCTTTAAATTTTTTAAAAAAAGGAAAGAGGAGACTATATATAGTTATGTACACGCGCATGCAGGTGTATATGTCACCTCTACTCTAGTTTACGAGTACATCTTGTCGCGCTTCTCTTTCCTTTTTTTCTGATGATTTAGGTTGGTCTTGATTCTCGCGATCTTCACCATATTTCTCGGTTCCTATCCCTTGTAATCTTCGAAATTTCTTCCGCGATTTCCGCGGGATGGGCAATACTTCTTGTGGGTGCTTTGCTCTTGAATTTTTACTCGTGGGTTTCGCTCAATTTGGATTTTGGAGTTTGGGGTTTTTCTCCCCAACTTGGACATTGATCGGTGTTTGTTTCCCGAGAAAAGTTTTTCCCGGAATTTCGTTTTCCCTAGAATCAAACGTGGGTTTCGTCTTTTTTTCCCGCAGGAACTGTGTAAATACTAGGTAAAAAAAAACTGTGTAAATACTGAAATCCTCTTTCTTTTTTCTCAGGTTGAGCGGGAATCATCATACACGTTTCAAATCTTAGGGTTTTATTTAACAGCGACTCGGTTAGTGATTCTCCATAACTTTGATCTTGCTATGCTTCTGATGATTGTTTACGCTGAAAGATTGAATCTTTTCTGTTCTTCTTTCGCTTGATTTATCCGTTTTGGATCGGAA